CCCCCCCCCCCCCCCGCAAGAGCTTGTCTTAAGCACCACCTCCTTCACGGCATCGTTCCCTAACCTCCCCTGCAGCCAGCCCTCTTCTCACATGCTCGTGAGCCGGGGGGCAGGGTATCTCTCCTTCAGTTGCAGCTTTGCGTTTATTTGGGGAATTGTTTGGTTAGTGACCTCTCCCTCCTGCTTGTTTACAAGTTCCATAAGGACAAGGTGTGTGTCCCACTCGTTCACCTCTGCATCCCCACCCCCAGTTCTTATCACAGCGCAGTAAGTGTTCATTCAGTATCTGTTGAGTGAATGGACACACAGCAGCAGCGTGTAAAAAAGCAAAACTGATGCACATCTTTTAAGCCAGTAGGTTTGTCCATAAAGGAATACGATAGAGGAAAGAGAAGGCACCAGCCTTAACAGAGCCCCTTTTATGTGCCAGGTGCTTTATACACATTATTTGGACGGAAAGAAGGAATGGTCATGGGTCGTTTTGTTTTCTTTCGTAACTCCTCGCAGGGATTTTTATGTGTATTTCATGCCAATACATGGGTGGCAAGATTTTTTTCAGTGATTTAACATGATATGAAATATGTCTCAGAAGTACTATCCTGTTTTTCCATTAACACATTTTAGCAATTTTCAGCTTGTGTGGCTCTGGGCATTTTATTAACAGAAAAAAAAAAAAGAATTGGATTAGGTATAATTAACACCTCAAATGGGATTGCCTTGTTAATCTCTAATGTCATTTTAAGAGCATTAAATACACATATATCCTGGACATGGCTACTTAACTTTTGACTTTTGTATGGCACACAGTTTTGAGTCCTAGTCATAAAAGGCATGTGGGAAACACCTTTCTTCATTGTGGTAATGGTGCCTTTCCATAATTGGGAAATATCCGAATGCAATTTTATACGAGGGGGATAAGCAGACTGTAGGTGGATAATATCCGCTGCTGCCCTTTTGAGTCTCCCAAAAACGTGTGCTGCTTCTCGTGTTGACTCCATTTCTGCTAAAAAACGACAGCCACCAGAACCAACCCTTCGTTCGCTCGCTCTGGTTACAACCTAAACCCGTTAGGTTCTAACCGTATTGTATTTGAAGCTCCTTTGAGAACCTGTGACAGTATGTCACATAGGCAGGTGGATGTGCTGGTCTGAAGCTCCAGAGTGGCCATGCGGGGTATTGCTATTACCTGCAGGGTCCAGGTGGAGCTGGTACCCAGCTAGAGGTCACGTGCCCTGTCCAGAGGAGGCAGCCAACAGTGGCCCAGTGACAGCACAGAGCTACTGATACCACATCTTCTAATTTTTGAAGGGAAGCCAGAAGCTCAGACTCATATGTGAAAACTACAGATTTTTAACCATTGACAGTGAAGGATTTTGTTTTTTTACATCTGTGCGGGACACACGAAACACATCCATGAGCTGATTTTTTTCTCTGACCTTTGTTGCAGATCCTTTATCCTGGCTGCTAGTTCTTTGCGGTCTCTCTCTCCCTCATCTGTCCAATATGGGTTCCTGCTGCTGTTTCACATCCCCTGCATCTTGGCTGGACTTGACTCTCTCCTTTCTCCAAGCCCAGGAGGTCCATCTCCTGTCTCAGGCTCAGCCCCTCCCCTCATCACCCTCACATGGAGCATCTCTCTTGTCCTGTGAGACCCAGCTTAGGTCCTTGGTGCCACCTCCTGCACCCTGCACTCATCACTTTGATCCGTCATGGTTGACTTCTAGATGAATGTGTTATCTTCACAAATAAGTTGCATTCTTTTTCAGGACAAAGATTGAACATGGGGTTTGGGGGTGGGGGGTGGTTTGTTTTGTGACTTGGTTGACTCTCAGGTGCAAATGGGGCCAGAAAAGATAGTGAATCTCCTAAATGCCTCCAGTGACAGGGAGCTCACTGCCTTCTGGGACATCCATGCCAGTTTGGGACAGCTCCTATCTTAGAATGCATCTGTTTGCTTAATCAAGCTGAAATTTACCTCCCCACCTAATGATTTTGTTACCCTTGGGCATTTACAATGAATTCTTCTGCCCCTTGTACAGTCATTTTCTGAACAAGCAGGACCCTAGTCAGTCCAAAGGAGTTGTTCTTGTGTGTCCAATGTAGCCGTCTAAACAGGGTTTCCACAAGAAGCAGTGTTTTTACGTGGAAATAGTCACTGCATATGCGCATTTTCTTTCCTATCGAATTCTGAGGGAGTTTTTAGTAATAGTGACCTATTACTAAAAACCTATTGCTCTGGCAGTTTCACCATGTTTTCATTTGAATGCACTGTCCTTTGAGGTTTCTACTTCTATCGGCATTAATAAACATTTCCTAAATTGGTGACCATATGCTCTGCTTGATATTCTCACATCTCTTTGGTTAACTGATTTCTGTTTTTCTTTTCAACAGTCAAAAGTCTAATTATCTGTATACTGAGTTTTAAATCTCTTACGATATTGTAATGCTTGGATCCCTCACTTCTGCCCTGGGTAACATGAGTATTGTGACACTCGGCTGTACAAATAAAAGCATTTGAAGATTTAGAATTGGCTTATGTAAGCAGACTTCTGCGACGAAAGCCTCCCCTTACCCTGTTGTCATGTAGTACACTGGAAGTCACATCTCAGCTGCAGGATTCCATGTTAGAATGTCACCAGCTAACCAGGTTGCTCACTGTAAGCTCATTGCTGTTTCTGTGTGTTCTTAGGTGCCGTGATACTCCTGGGAAGAACCAATATGTTTCGCTTTAACCATCCGAAGGAGGCCGCCAGGCTCAGGGAAAAGAGGAAGGTGAGCAGTGTGGAACCTCCCGTAGCTCGCTCCGCTCTGGGAGGGGCTGGGGTCGGGGAAGAGGGGGTCTCCACTCTGGTTCCAGCAGTTTAACTTTCTGGAGCACGAACCAGCCCATAGCCTGGATTGATTCTAGAGGGTTTGTTTCCCAGCGGATGGCTCCCTGGTGAAATAGGCTAGCAAGTGAGATCCAGAGCAGGAGGAGAGACACTGCGTCTCGACCCTCCTGTTGAGCGCTGCATCCCCTGAAAGGAGGTGGGCATCATTTCACATTAAGTGGAGAGTACCTTCCACTCAAGAGCATCTGTTTCAAGAGTTAACCCCATATCAGAATCACTTTCATCCAAAACTTGGTTCACTTTTAATTTTCATTCACAGTAAACTGGGTTTTTGATGAGGGTGTGAAGCAGAGAGGGGGGTGAACTTAGGACGGTTGGAAGAGGCTTCAGCTTGGATGGGGATGCCTAGAGGGCACTTGAAGTGCTGGATGAGGGAGGTGGGCAGAGGACCAGAAAAAGACAGGAAGAAATGGAAGGGAGAGAAACGTGTCTAGGACACCGTGTTGACCTTAGACCGAGGAAGGGAATTAAGTCACAGCTGAGTTTTCTGTGAGCCAGGCGCTGTGCAGAACCGCCACCTGTACCAGTTTATGTGCACAGAGGCTGTTATTACACCCACATCGCAGATGATCGAGATGAGAAACCGAGGCTGGCCTGTCCCGTGGCCAGCAAGCGGGGAACCGGGGCTGCAGCCCCGCATCTCAGCCTGCTTTTGCTGGGGCTGCCCAGAGTTGCCAGTGCCTCAAATGCGGAATAACGAGAAAGCCGCAAACCCCAGCCTCCTCCAGGGCTGCCAGTTCCAGCCTGTGAAGCCTATTGTCTGTTCCAGCCCAGAGTCGCCCTGGAGGGCCCTTTTCAGGACAGAGTTGCAGGGAAGAGAGGGAAGGAAACAGGTTTTAACTTAGTTATAATCACGACACAGGATGAGGGGAGGGAGGGCTGGCGGCGGGGCGCAGCTGACGTGGGGCCTTGGAGGCCCCTGGAAGGAGTTTGACTGTTTTCTAACCATTTGAGGTCTTTAAGCAGTAGAGGAACATGAAGATAAATTTACTACAAATATTAGGGAACTTTCCGTGGAAGGCAAACAGGTTAGGCTGTTGCCCTTTTGGTCTCCCTTCACCTCTCCCTCTCCCTCTTTGTCACTCAGCAAGTGTGAGTACTGCTCCTGCCAGGGGACAGGGTTGACACAGATGCCGTCACCCCTTCCCTCCACTTGAATGCAGCAGCCAGGTCAGGGAGATCCACCGGGCTGTGCAGTTCCCGTCTGAGCACACTGCGGTCCTGCTGGCCTTAGCGTGGGGCTTGGGCTCCAGACGGATCCCTGGCCTGACCCCTGACGTGCATCCTCAGAGAGACCAGTTGTGTGCAGGCTGATGGGGGGCGTGAGCCCCTCGTTGCCTCTCCCCAGTGGAGCGTGGGGAGCACAGAGCATGGCCTTCCCTTGCTGCTGAGGTAACCGCTCTGCCCTGTGTCTGCTCTTAGAGTGGCCTTCTGTCCTCCCTCAGCTTGTCCATGACCGACCTGTCCAAGTCCTGCGAGAACCTCTCTGCCGTCATGCTGTACAACCCAGGGTGAGTGGACTGCGGCGTTGCCTCCCCTGGGGTTGTCACTGTTGTGGTGTTTGTCGTGTCGACCCCATTAAAGTCATTAATTAAAAAAAGAAGTCAGTTAAAGAAAATAAAACTTCTGCAGTCCGGCCTCCTTATTACATCAGCCGTAGTCATTTTCCAGGTTCCTTTCCAGCCCTTGCTGTGTATGGACATCCTTTAACTTAGTTATAATCACGGCACAGGATGAGAGGAGGGAGGGCTGGCGGCGGGGGGGCAGCTGACGTGGGGCCTTGGAGGCCCCTGGAAGGAGTTTTCTAACCATTTTAGGTTTTCAAGCAGTAGAGGAACGTGAAGATAAATTTACTACAAATGTTAGGATGTGTGTCATCTGGAGAACGTAGCATGGAAGTGAGAGACCATTTAGGTACCAGTGGCTTGGGTCTGGGTGGTCACCATAGTGATGGAGCATCGTGGAATGAAGGGCGGTTCCCAGGCTCCGGGTTTAAACAGTTGGGCAGGTGATGCACCTGCTCCTGAGGTGCGGGAGGCAGGGCTGAGCAGCCTGGGCTGGCGGTGGGGTGAGGGTTCAGTCAGTGTATCTTTCCTATTAGGTTGGAAGTTTTTCGAGGTCAGAGGCTTATCTTACTAATTTCTGTATTCTAGAGTATCATTCACATAACACGCTTGACAAATGTTTAGCAGACAGATTAAGAATGGAATTTTAGTAAGACACGTGTGCCCTTTGGGGGGAAAAGGTTTTTCACTAGTTCCTCTGGGCATGGGTGTTCTAAATGGTGGGAAATGGCACATTATGCAAAGGAATGTGTTTCTGTGCACGAGTCAGTTTCCAGATGACGCTGCAGTTGGTTGAATAACCTCGAGTTCATGTTCGGGATCCTCAGGCAAAAGGCGGGAAGAGGGCCTCATGACGAAGTGAAGACTTAGGCCAAGGTAGTCAGAGAATTCAATGAGAAACACTCTGCGGTCGGCTGAAGAGATGGTGCTGGATGGGTTGGATGCTGCCGTGATGCATCCTGTTCATCTGGCTTCAGTTAGCGGACACATTTCGTATCTGCCACCCTTGCAGTACTCATTTGTACAAATTCAAATTCAGGTGACTTAACACTTCATCATACCTTCATTCCCCCGACTCCAGGCCCCGCCCCCAACTTGCCACCTGCTCTAGAGAATGATTACCCACGAATTAAAACACAGTTGGAGAGAAGTTGCTGCCTCTGATTTATGGGAAGCAGACACCTTGTAAAGTTCTGTGCTCCAGCAACTCGGCAAAACAAAGCGGGATTAAAGCCAAGCTGGGCTGTTTTTACCTTTTTTGATGTTACGGGTGTAACTATCCTTGGCCTAAATTAAGCGCCACGCGATAAACGGGAAGAATGTTGAAAGAAGTATGTTCACTGCTTGGACACTAGCTGAATAGTTGTTCCTTAAATCTAATAAGCCGCCTGCACACAGAGTGTGTTAGTTTCTCAAGATGGAAACTTAGGGCTGAGATGCTTCAATAGGGCAGCGCGCATTTATTGAGGGTGAGGGGAGACCATAAGTGTCAGGTGCCGTGTTCTCTCTGCCTAAGAAAATGGACACATGGGTGTGAACCCACTTAGTGTGAAGTCATGGAAGTTATATGATTCAGGATTAGTAGCCTGTGACCTGGGAGGGCCAATGGGAAGGGAATGGTGCAAATTGACATGCTTGGAAGGGATTCTCTTCGGTGTCCATGCCTTGTAATGTGTTGGGTGATGTAGAAAACCAGAGACTTTCAGAAAGAATCTTTCTTGATGTTGAGATCACCTCCAGCCAGCATCATGGGATCTGTGCCATAAGCCTAAATAACGGGAACCCACTTACCCTCAACGCTTGTGGAGACCAGGCATCGTCCCCTTTGTAACATCGTCCCCAGTTCTCCCCCCTCTTCAGTGGACTCTCACTGCCGTAGCAGTGCGCAGCCTGCAGTAAATAGCTGGGGCCCATGGCAAGGGGAGGGTGGTGTGGAGGGTATAGCAGGGCTGTGAGGAGCCTTAAATAGTCACCCTCCTAAGTCCCTAGTCTAGCACTTTCTTCTCCGTAGTTGAGGATATGAAGATGTTAGAAGTCTATAAAGATGCCTTATCTCGGAGAACAAAGCGGATAGAACACTAACCAGAGATTCAGCCCTGGATGCCCGCCAGGTAGGAACCCCAAATCACTCCCTTCTGTTCTACTTGAGAATTCTGTTCAAGATTCACAAAAAAAAACTGGATTCTGTGCTGGGCCCTGAGATGTTTGCAGGAAGAGGTCTTCCCCTGGAGAGATGTTCTGGGAAGGAACATTTTATGAGCAAACAAGGTGAGTGCTGGCCAGAGTCATGCTGAGCTTAGGAAGAGATAAGAGGATTCCGCAGGTTGGGGCCTGACTGGGGGGTGCTGTGAAAGCCGTGCCTGGGCGTGAGCAGTTTGCTTTGATAAACAGATGTCTGTTGTTTGAGGAAATGCACTTTGGGGTTTGGGAGGATGGAGCAGGAGAGATGGCAGCTCAGGTTCTGCTGGCACAGTCACAGCACCTGTGTACATGTAACTTTTTTATAAGTTCTGGTTAGTGTGTTTAGAATTTATGATTATGAATAAAATGTATGGCCCAAAATACAACAGAGAATTATTTTCTCTATACTCATAAGCATTTGCTAACTCATTTCTTCACTCTTTTTTTAAAATTGTGCTAAGATACACTTAACATGAAATTTCCCATCTTAACCATTTTTAGGCGTACAGTAGTGTTAAGTGCATTCACATCGTTGCAGCTAACCTCCAGAACTTTTTTCCTATAAAACTGAAACTCTGTACCCATTAAGCAGTAACATCCCAACCCCCCTCCCCCTCACCCCTGGCAACCGCCATTCTATTTTCTGTCTCTGAATTTGACTGTTCTGGGTACCTCATATAAGTGGATTCATACATTATTTATCTTTTTGTGACTGGCTTTTTTTTTTTTTGTGGTACGTGGGCCTCTCACTGTTGTGGCCCCTCCCGTTGCGGAGCACAGGCTCCAGACGCACAGGCTCAGCGGCCACGGCTCACGGGCCTAGTCGCTCCGCGGCATGTGGGATCTTCCCAGACTGGGGCACGAACCCATGTCCCCTGCATTGGCAGGCAAACTCTCAGCCACTGTGCCACCAGGGAAGCCCGTGACTAGCTTTTTTCACTTAGCATAATGCCTTCAGAGTTCATCCATGTTGTAGCAAGTATCAGAGTTTCTTCCTTTTTAAAGTTGCATAACATTCCATTGCATGTGTATATCACATCTTATGTATCCATTCATCTGTCGATGAACACTTGGGCTGCTTCCACCTTTTGGCAGTTGTGAATAATGCTGCTCTGAACACTGGTGCACAAATGGTGGGCCTCTCACTGTTGTGGCCCCTCCCGTTGCGGAGCACAGGCTCCAGACGCACAGGCTCAGCGGCCACGGCTCACGGGCCTAGTCGCTCCGCGGCATGTGGGATCTTCCCAGACTGGGGCACGAACCCATGTCCCCTGCATTGGCAGGCAAACTCTCAGCCACTGTGCCACCAGGGAAGCCCGTGACTAGCTTTTTTCACTTAGCATAATGCCTTCAGAGTTCATCCATGTTGTAGCAAGTATCAGAGTTTCTTCCTTTTTAAAGTTGCATAACATTCCATTGCATGTGTATATCACATCTTATGTATCCATTCATCTGTCGATGAACACTTGGGCTGCTTCCACCTTTTGGCAGTTGTGAATAATGCTGCTCTGAACACTGGTGCACAAATGCCTGTTTTGAGCCCTTGCTTTCAGTTCCTTTGGGTATATACCCAGAAGTGGGATTGTTGGATCATATGCTAATTACGTTTTTAATTTTTTTGAGAAACTGCCACACTGTTTTCTATCTTAGGTGCAACCCTGTTATATTCCTACTAATAGCGCCCAAGGGTTCCAGTTCCTCCACATCCTCACCAATACGTGTTATTTTCTGTTTTTTTTCTTGTTAGTTTTTTCTTTTGTTTTTGATGGTGGCCGCCCTAATGGGTGTGACGTGGTACCTCACTGTGGTTTTTCTTCACTCTTTGTTTTCTTTCCATTCTCTTAAGAATTTCCAATCTGCAAAATAGTGTTTGGAAATATAGAAAGATGGAAGATCGGAAATTCAGCTCCCCCAGTAAGTTTAGTAAATAACTGATGAATGTCAATTTGACAAGGATCCGTTTGCTGGTGACCTCCCTCGAGCCCTGCCAAGTTCAGTTCAACCAGCTCGTTCGCCTGTATCTCAAAGCCCAGTCCATGGGGTAGGGCTTCAGGAGGTGTTTCTAGCCAAGGAGAGATGTGATCATATTTGCCCTGCGAGGGAACAGTGAGGGCGCTGAGGGAGCTGTGAGAGGGACCTGGAGGTGAGGCCTGAACTGAGGCAGCCGTGGGAGGAAGCTAGAGGCAGGGGTGGGCTGCACAGGCACCCAGGGCAGGAAGGAAGTGGTGAGGCCCGAATGGATGTGGGAGAGAAAGAAGGAAAAGCTGGTAACATCCATTTTCTGGCTTAAATAATTGGTCTGGTGTCGCATGCTCTGCAGCTGAAACACAGATACTGGAGGAGGGGCAGCTTGTCGAGAGGCAGGGAGAATGCTGAGCACAGCCTTGAGAAACTGGACCCCGGGCTGTGAACTTCCTCCTGGGAGTGACTGCACAGGAGCACAGGGTCGGCCGCTGGGCGCCCTGCGGGGGCCTCTGCAGCCTGTTGCAGGCGCAGGGTGAATGCGGGGCCCCCATTGACAAGCCCTCCTGCTCGTTCTGCATCCACTCAGCTACTGGGTGAGGGCCCTTGTTTAGCCAGCCTGTGCTGGGGCTCAGTTCCCTTGGAGCGTGATCTAGTGTACAGGGAAGACTGTGGGGAAGCCTGGCGGAAAGCAGGGAGCCGGGAGCCTTGTCTTTGCCCGTGACGCTTGGACTCCTCTGGGTTGACTCTCAGTGAGGGCAGCTGTGCAGCTCCACCCAGGCCCCTGGCCGCGGCGCCCCACT